CAGCCCTCCCCTCTGGCACTGCCCTGGCCCCGGCGCCGGCTTTGCACAGAGGGTGCGGGTCGGGGACGAAGCCCAGCGGGGCGTTCGGGGCTCAGCCCCCAGGACATGCAGCCCCGAGCTCTAAGCCCTCCAGGGAGGACAAATAGCAAATAAGGCCCCAAAGGAAAGTCTGGGCCCCACGGACTGAACCTGGGGGCTAACCCTGGCTCCAGCCAGGGGATTGATCGCCTCCCCCTCCCCCCATCTGGCATACTATATACGTGAGTTCTTTTAAATAAGGCCCACATTTTCAAGGGGATACCCCCTGAAGCTTCCTGCCCCACGTGGGGCAGATCCCCTCTTGGGGTGACAGCAGCATGCTCCTCCTTAAACAGGTTTCCCTTGGTGGACCCCACTGGGCCGGGCCAGCAGCCTTGCTCAGCCCTGCCGTGGGGATCTGCCCCCAAAAGTGGCATGTGCTGTGGAATTCATTGCCTGGGACACCATATGACCCACCCTCCCCCTCCTGAGCAAGCCCCTGGGTGCCAATCTGAAGTGGACGGGCACAGATGGAGCAGCATCGAGCCAGAGACCAGAGGTCCCAGCTATGGCAGTGTGACTGAAGAAGTGGGCTGTGCCCACGAAAGCTCATGATCCCATCTACATGTTTTGTTAGTCTATAAAATGCTACCAGACCATTTGTTGTTTTTTCGGTACCCTGGTGTGACTCTGCCCCGACACTCACCTTGCTTTCTGGGGCTCCTCACCACCCTGTCCTGATGGGCCAGATTCTCTGGTCTCCCCTAGACAAGTCACAGAGTTCGCTCTCTCCACCCCACCCCGAAGAGCAAAGCAGACACTAAATCACTTCAGCTCTGGGAGAACGCAGTCCTAGATCACACCCCTAAATAAACCCATCTTTCTCTGAGTAAAAGAAAAGCTCATGAGGATGTTCACCCTCTGTCAAATGAGAGAGGGACTATGTACACTGATGGTCCCTCCCTCCCCCGGTAACAGTTATTTACACCGGGTTTGGTAGGAAACAAAGACGACTTTATTAAGTACAAACAGCAGGATTTGAGTTGCTGAAAGTGAAAACAAACAGAGCAACATAATTTACCGAATTACAATGAAAAAAACCTCATAACTAATTCAGTTAAAAAAATTACCAACTGTTCCGAACCCTAAAGAGCTCATTCTTATTTCAGGCCAGTCTTAAAGTCAAAAGATAATCGTTTACTCTGACTTGGGTCTCTGGTGGTTCCCTTTGTATCTTAATGTTCCAGGCTCTTCCCCAAGCCAGGGGAAGACAAAAGGACAGATAGCTTCGCATTGTTCATATAGACTGAGTCTCCTTGGAGGGAATGTTTTGTTTGCTACCCTCACTTCCCATGGGAAATTACCTGGTCAAACTGATACCCCATTATCAGGTCGTATGGTCACATGTCTTCATAAGAACAACCGCTGCTTAGACTTAACAGACTTGAGAATAGCCTTGTTTGTCCTTTAAGCCGGTGATCACCCACTCATTAAGGCTTCTAGGAGCACCGCTGAGAGCTTACATTTGCACATTTAAAACCGTTTTAGGCCTCATGTTTCTAACTTTTCGTACAAGACTAATACATGCACCCAAATAAGAGATCCAGATCCTGCAGACTGTAACATTAACATCGATAGGTGACATGAGGTATTTTGTCTAAAGCATCTTCAAGTTACACATATTTATATTCATAAGCCAATTTCATAAAGTATGTGGGGGAACTGTCACAGGAGCAGCTAAGTCACTGGAAGAATTCTTCTATTAGCCTTGCTACTGCCTCTCAAGGGGGTGGAGTTACTACAGAGACGGCAAAACCCCTTTCATCACTGTGGTAAGTACAATGTTACACTGTGCCACCACCGTGCTGGTAGCACAGACATGCCCTCTGTGTTTCTTGCTGTAACTTTTGCTATGGCCCATGGAAGCTGTTTCCTGTTCTAAACAGAATATTGTCCGCTCTGCCACCTCTCTCAATGATGTTAGCTGTATGGACATTATTAAATTAGTGTAATGAGTTTCAACAGCCTCAGGGATCAAGCCTCAACTACAGCTTGGTCATCAGTTGAAAGTTTTATAGGCATAGCTAGATGGGTCAGGCCAGGGGATGGAAAAGCACCATGCTGACAAAATCCCAGTGTAGACACAGCTACCTTGGTGGAAGAGTGCTTATATCACCATAGATAACATCAGAGAGGTCTACTCAAAAATCAGCTCCGTGGAACAAGTCCTTCCATCTACAAAGCAAACACTAGCACTAGGTGCTATGACTGCCCAGCTTTAGAGGCAACGTTGTATCATGAGTCTGCTTGAGGTTCGGGGAAGGGGTCTTCCATGTTCCCTCTAATCTTTTCCATCCACGTGTGAATTTTTTATCCATGTGCAGAATAGTTTTTTATGTGCACCAAGGTATGTGCACCAACATTAGAAACAAAAACCTAGCTGCAGATGCTCAGCTAATCAGCTGGGCAGCATCTGAATTACTCCTGAGCGTCCGCTCAAGCACCCAGCTTACAGGGAACACTGATGGTGTTCCTGCTACAGCAGAAAAACATCTGGCAGCTTACATGCCATCTATACGAAAGGTAACTGTTCTGGCATATTCCCATTGGTATAGGCTCCATTGTGTAGACCTCGTCCCTTAGTGATCCAGTACAACTTCTACACAACTAGCGAAATACAAATACACAGATTTTAGTTGTCCAGCAGGTTTTAACTCTGATGTAAAGCAATTAGTTTAAACACAGGCAAGACATCAGTACCCAGACAAATGTCATTTTGCTACAGAGATCCATTGGAGTTGGCATGGAGGGGTTCTCTCCCGCTCAGCTTTACCACTGCGATGGCTAGTCCTAGAGACAAAGAAGGAGTCTTTCAGGTGATTCACTCAAGGTGCTAGGACAGCCACAGGTCTGTTCTCTGTGTGGATTTCTCAGTGTTCTCCTTAGCTAGGGCTATACAAGAGAGAATTTGTCAGCAATCAGATATCTGTTGCTACCCACTATGGGGCACTCAACCCGGCCAGGCAAAGGTGCTCCCACTCAACAGCACGGTCATACAGATGTTTTTAGTTCATGGAGTGGGACATTTTATACCTTCTCTGAAGTGATTTGGACTCATGGCAAAAGCTTGGGACTATCCAGCCAGGATATGGGTTATGCCCCGTCCCACTGTCCGACAAGAAATCGAAGCCTCTTGCGACTTTGGAAAACTCCCATGACTTTGTGCAAAACACCTTGTGCCATCTCCACCTAGGTCAGACCTGTCGGGCCATGCACTGAACAACTGCTGACCCAGCTCCAGTCAGCGACCTGCTTCTGCAAGTTACTTTCCGTGGGTTCCCTGCAGGCCAGCTATGCATGACTCTGTGCTCTTTCCATCCTAGCAGTAGGCAGCAACGTCCCGCAATGTTCTGGACGTCAGAATAAAGTCTCTATGGAAAGTCTCTTTCCATTTCTGGACAGCTGTGTCCTTGGACAGTAGTTCATCACACAGTCATACGTAGTCATTTGATTCATCCACTTGGTCCACCAGCAGCAGGAAAGAACCGTTAGTAACACAAGACAGCTCTACACACCCCCGTACCCGGACTTTCCTCCCCATACTCGATGGTCAACATTTCCATGTCCACATTCCACTGCTGTGAATGAGCCACATCCCCACTGATTTCATTAGCCTCAGTTACACATGTATCCTCTTTCTTTTGTTGTCCTTATATATACACCCCTGCCTCTGTAAACTCCACTCCCATTCATCTGATGAAGTGGGTTTTCCCCACAAAAGCTTATGCCCTAATACATCTGTTAGTCTCTAAGGTACCACAGGACTCGTTTTTGCAGCTACAGACTAACAAGGTGACCTTTCTGAGTCGAGATCGGCAGGTACACATGTATCCTCTTTCTTTTGTTGTCCTTATATATACACCCCTGCCTCTGTAAACTCCACTCCCATTCATCTGATGAAGTGGGTTTTCCCCACAAAAGCTTATGCCCTAATACATCTGTTAGTCTCTAAGGTACCACAGGACTCGTTTTTGCAGCTACAGACTAACAAGGTGACCTTTCTGAGTCGAGATCGGCAGG